TCGAATTAATTTGATGGCCTGCTCCCAGTTGGCTTGTTAGCTCAATTGGTAGAGCGCTGCACTAGTATCGCAGAGGTCAGTGGTTCGAATCCCGTACAGGCCTGAAATTTTTTTCAGGTCTGATTTTCACTATTGCTCAAATAGTGCTTTACTGCGAAGGATCGTGCTCATATACGTCTCATAACCGCAGTTCACACATATGTTTCATATGTTTGTTGTTGTTTGATTTATCATCTACGGGTTTATGTCGAATTAATTTGATGGCCTGCTCCCAGTTGGCTTGTTAGCTCAATTGGTAGAGCGCTGCACTAGTATCGCAGAGGTCAGTGGTTCGAATCCCGTACAGGCCTGAAATTTTTTTCAGGTCTGATTTTCACTATTGCTCAAATAGTGCTTTACTGCGAAGGATCGTGCTCATATACGTCTCATAACCGCAGTTCACACATATGTTTCATATGTTTGTTGTTGTTTGATTTATCATCTACGGGTTTATATCGAATTAATTTGATGGCCTGCTCCCAGTTGGCTTGTTAGCTCAATTGGTAGAGCGCTGCACTAGTATCGCAGAGGTCAGTGGTTCGAATCCCGTACAGGCCTGAAATTTTTTTCAGGTCTGATTTTCACTATTGCTCAAATAGTGCTTTACTGCGAAGGATCGTGCTCATATACGTCTCATAACCGCAGTTCACACATATGTTTCATATGTTTGTTGTTGTTTGATTTATCATCTACGGGTTTATATCGAATTAATTTGATGGCCTGCTCCCAGTTGGCTTGTTAGCTCAATTGGTAGAGCGCTGCACTAGTATCGCAGAGGTCAGTGGTTCGAATCCCGTACAGGCCTGAAATTTTTTTCAGGTCTGATTTTCACTATTGCTCAAATAGTGCTTTACTGCGAAGGATCGTGCTCATATATGTCTTGCAAGATCTGTTTGCACCTTTCACGAACAAAACAAAGAACCACATCTGTTTCACATCATATTCGATGCCACTGGTTCAGCCGTCTATTACCCTTGAGAGTTATTTGGAAAATGTCATAACACAATTTGTAGAGATTACTGTATCCAAGCCATTAAAAAGTTTGTTATGCAACGAGGTCATGGCTTTGAAAGAGTTGAAAAACAAATCTGCTTTAAACGTCCTTCTAAAAAGCAACACGCCAAAAGTTATCATGAATAAGACAGAAAAAAAGATGAGGCCAAAGTGCAAACTCAACAACAGAGTTCACTACAAACTTTTCAAAGCATCAATAGTAAAAAACATGCAGAGAAGGGTTAATGAGATCACTGACCAACATATGTATTGATGACATGACTAAGAAATGGCTTTCACAATCTCCCAATCCACCTAGATACACAGTCAACCCTTGCTAAAAACAATTTTTACATAACGTGTGATTGTTGCACACAAAAAGGGAAAATCCCTTACAAAATGCTTTTGAGAGCAAAATACAATTGGAAGGTGATAATACAATGTGACCACAAAAGCTACATGGGAAGTCCCTGCTGGTCTGTTATTACCTTTATTATCTGATTGGCAAATAAATGATGAAGCTGCATCATCACTCACCCATATGCATAACCACGAATCCTTCCCTTTAAGCAGTGCAGGCAACCCTATCACAAGCTGATACCCTCAAGAATTGGAAAAAGTGTCTATTAATAGAGCTTTTGTCTACAAGAACAGATGGAAATTTGATAAAATTGATCCACATCATTGCCAAGAGTTAATTCCTATGTATGGGGTGGCTACTTACAAGAGAGTGTAAACAAAAGAAAAATCTACTTTTTCACTTTTAAAAAGTGTTTACTTTCGTTTATAAGAGTGTTTGCTCTTGGGAGATGTGTTGAGTGGGAGGCAAAACAGGTAGTTGAAAAAAGTGTCTGTAAGAAGAGAGTTTTTTTTCATTAGAATAGATGATGCTTACTTTGTATAGTTACGTTATCTAGAGACTTTTGACTGATGCATGAACAAATTGTGTTTCAACAGCTTAGTTTAAATATTTTATTAGTATAGGTAATCACATGACTTTTCTCATGCAATTTGGAATAAGTAAGCACGAGTAAATTTTTTTAGAGACTAACAAAATTGCATGAGCCTGTAGGGTGAGTGCAATTTGTGGTCTTTGAAAAAATTTACAAGTGCTTCTTTATTCCAAATTGCATGAGAAAAATCATGTGATTATGTATTAATAATATAAATAAAAAAAATACGAGGTAGCTTATCATAATTATGCAGAAGAAAAGCATGTGTATCACATGCAAAAATAATTTATTCAAATCCTGCAAGTGACATTGACCTTGACATTGACCTTGACCCATCAGAATGTTTTGTTTGTTACTTTCTTTGCACTGAATTAACCCTCTTCTGCACGGAATTAAGTCTCTTGTGCACTAAATTACCTGAAAACTGCATTTAACTTAATCAGAACTGAGTAGGTTTTTCATGTATTTTATTAAGAGAGATATTCCATCTGCTATGATTCAATGTCTTCACAATTATGTCATTAATGTGCACTATGGGTACCGGTATAATTATGATGCTTTCTTGTGTTAAAGAATTAGTTAACATGAACCCAGCTATGTTATAAAAAAGTCTTCTATGATAACCTGAATTATGCACACACTGATTCATTTAGCTCTTATGTATGATCTGTTGGGGTGCAGATGCCTAGATGAAATCTCTATTAATTAAAATAAAAACATTTTGCTTTTTTATTGTATGAAACAGATAGAATCCATAATCCTGTGGGTCTGTACTGTAATACACAATGTGTGCCACTTTTTTGTTCTTACCACATTGTGATGTCATCTGTCATCTGCTACTGAACAGAATCATGAAAACATGAAAATTATACCAAGTGTTAAAAGAGGGTGAAATTTTTCTAATCAAACAATAGATTTTTTTGATTAGAAAAATTTCACCCTCTTTTAACACTTCCATTGATACCCAAAATGCATGGGGAAGATCTACCCAGCAGACTGACTGAAGCAGACCTTTCTCAATTTAGAAAATCAGTTGTAAGTTATGTGTCTATCAATTGAAAGCTTTAACATTCCCTCTCCCAGGCAACCCACTGGCATTTGATGATCTATGTGCCTAGGAGATGGTAAATTTGAACCTTTCCTGGGTGGGGTGGAGCATTTGAACCAGAAGTGTCAAGTCTCACCAGCATCATACACATGTTTTAATGGAGGAGTTTAATAGTAAAGGGTCTGCCTTCATGAACAAATGGCTAAGAGAGACGATTTGCACATCGTAGAATGATGCTTTTAAGCAAAAAAACCAACTGACAGTTGTATTTTTCTTGTGTATTACTTAACTATTTTGAAAGGTTTGACAAGTCATTCAAAGTTTGATGGTTTTCTTGTCATTTGTTTTCAAAAGATTCTTTTACTCTGATGAAGTAGAGACAAGACCAAGAATAGAAGTGTTTTCTGGCTAGAAAGTTGTGAAAAAGAGGAATGTTTATGCTGTTTCACCATAAGAAAAGGTACTATTTACTCTAAGGAAGTTATTCTCTGACTGACTGACTGCCTAACACACAGGTAACTGGCTTGCTGAGTGATTGAGTGCCTAATTGATGGCTGATTTACTTATTGGTTTACTGAAGGACTTAATGATGATGTATAGTGTTCTGATTAGTTGATGTTCTTGCTGTTTGACAGATTGACCCACTGAGTGTTAGCTTGAATGTCTGATTGGCTTAGTACTCTGCAGACAGATTCATTAGTGGCTGATGTTGGCTTTCTTTCTTAAAATTCACACAGCTTACTATGGCCAAACCTGGATGAGGGTGCCTGGGTAACTGTAAGGACGTCAGTTAGATTGGAGGAGTCTGGTTTTGGCACAGCATCAAGACCATGAGATTGACAAGACATTTAAGAGGAGACAGAGGATAAAAACCTGACAGGTCAGTGTGTAAACTAATAAACTTGTCTCAAAAATGCAGTATACGTAATTTTTACAAAAAAGGAAAAAAAAGAGATAATGTACTGGTACAGGATGTTTAGATCAGGGAGGCAAATACATTGAAATCTGTCTCAACTTTCATACGCAAAGGTACCTTATCGCACAAATTCAAATGTAGGTTTTCCTTGCAAAGGTGTACTATATTTTTGGGAAGGGAAAAAAAATCCAGTTTCCATTTTTTAGATGCATCTAAAATAGGGAAAAAGCTTGAATTTTCTCTGGTACTGGATGTTAAGATCAGCGAAGCAAATACAGTTGTTGAAATCTGTCAAAATGTACATATACAGAGCTACCTTACCATGGAGTTTCAGATGTATACGTTTTCCTTGCAAAGGTGCACTATATTTTTGGGGGAGGGAAAAAACATCCAGGTTGCTGATTATTTTAAATCCATGACTCTTCAAACAGCCTAAACTGGACCTCAGAGCAGCTCTGGCACTAGGGCCATAAAATTTTAATTTTTGAAACTAAATTTAGTGAAACAAAACGACTGAAAATATAGATTTAGATTAATGCAGGAGTACTTGATTATGAAATTGCATGTACCAGACTCTGCAGAAAAAAGGAAATGGGAGGAGGATACAAAAATTTGAAACATTAATTTT